AAAAAAGTACTCCAGAGTGTTGTTCAGCATGGGGGTGAGTAGAAAATGAAGGCTAATCATGTTTTGGGTGTACTATTCCTTTAAATCAAAAGGGACACTTAAGAAATGTCTGATCTGACTTTGTCTGTTTTACAGGAAGGGAGGAGCGTTGGTGTTGGAAAGGATTTCTGTTTAGCTTATCAGACCCGACCTCACAGAGCTGGACTGAGACCAACAGGTGGGTGCAGCTTTAAAATGTCAGAGGTTTGTGTTTAAAACTCATTGCAGTTCTCCGTTCATGTCTGGATCTCTGAACGCAGCTCACTTACAGAGAAAGACGATGCACAGCTCAGAGAAAACCGGATGAGCTAATGCTAATTCAAATATTTAGAGTTAAAAACAGCATAAAATGTTTCATAATAACTTTTATATTTAGGCAAATAGAAAATAACAGCAGCTGAATTAACTGTTCAGGAATGATTCATTTTGCTTCACTGATAAAAACATATCTGATGAATTTTCAATTAAATTCTTCTGTTCTTATTATTTTTGGCAGATTATTGTTAAATTATAGAACTACGGTTATTGGACATCTTTCGTGAGAACCCAGAGCTGATGAGCAACACGCCAACATGTTGAAATGTTTTACTTCCTCCTCCTGCTATAATGATTCCCACAGTGTGATGGAAAATAAGCAAAGTTTATGATGAGGTAAAAAAAAAAAAAAGAATAAAAAAAAAGCTACAAGCTAGAGTAGAGTGGAAAAATAAATAACAGAAGGTTTGCTTTTAAAAAATAAAAGCAAATGGTTTGTAACTGAAGACTTGCATTAAAATAAGATCCAGCAGGATAACTTAAGACTTAAGAGACTTAGACAGGTTTTATTTTGTCATTTTGTACAAACAAGTGTAAACAAAAGAAATTTCGTTTATTGAAGCTCTCTAGACTTTTCATTTTTTAAAGTGCAGCCTTTATTAAGGTAAGCAGCAGTGATAAAAACACTGTGATGAAAAAAAGGGATGTAAACATATGACTGTATAGTTACAGTTCCAACATTCAGGGTTTTTTTTTTTTATAACCCATTTTAAATAACATTTAACAGCCTAATGGGAGAAGGTTACGTTCAAGCAAAGAAAGGTTGGTGAAATTGGAGCAGTAAGAAAATATGCTTTTACTGATCCTCCATTTTTTTTTATCATTTTCATTTAGATTTATCAGCGACCGATCCAGATAAAAAAAAAAAAAAAAAAAGCCAAACCCCAGCAGAACTGTTATCTACCATACTATAAAACCAACACGAAACCAAACATGTCAAAACTAAGAAAATTTATAAAGCATCAATTTCCATTCATTCATATTTAGCGACCCACTTTGTTTCCATGTATGGGGTGTATAGGAACTGGACCCAGCAGGTAGCTTCAGGTAAACCCTTCCTTCTAAATAATGAAACATCTCTGATTTGACGTTTGGTAGGACTTAGATTATTGATGCTGTAGCCTAAGAACTACCTCCATCATTTAGCCCCGTGATTTAAATAAACAATTTGTTAAAAAGAGGATCACATCCTAGTGATTTAGAGCAGTGGTTCTCAAACTTTATTTTAGTGATGTACCCCCTTAAAAATATATTTTTAGTCAGGTACCCCCTGACACAGGCAAAACATTTTTGGAAGAAAAAAGAGGTACAGTGCTGTAAAATCACTGTCTTATTTATTAAAGCCAAACAACGGATCCATACTCCAACCATTGCATGTAAAAAAAAAAAAAAAAAAGAAAAACAGAAGA